GCCTTCTTCCAGCAGCAGCCTCCACCTGAGAGCTTTGTAGGTTTTCTTGGTGTCCAGGTACTCTGTAGGCTCCTCCAACCCCAGACATGGTTTCTCTGTGTGTAGCAGGAGCATTGGCTGTCCTGGAACTTGCACCGAAGATCAGGCTGGCCTCGAACTCACAGAGACCCACCTACCTCTGCCTTCCAAGTGCTGGGATTAAAGACATGCACCACCCCTGCCCAGCTCAGTCACTCCGTGTTTTACTGGCCTCTCTCATGATACATAGCACTTGAAGCAGGCTGCATGCTTTACTCACTCACAAGCATGAGGGAATTCACCTAGATATGAATTTGCCTCCCCAGGGAGAAATGGGGGAAGATACTGTGCAGTGTAACAGAGGGAGCCATGCTGTGAATGCCAAGCCTATCTATGCTCATTTGAAAAAAGGGCAAATATGATTATTTTTATCTGGCTCTGTCCATGAGAGAATGTGGCTAGCAGAACTGGCAGAGAAGAGGTCTTGTCATGACGTCCATGTGTATACGTGGGATTGTGATTCTGTCTGGTGGGGATTGTGAACTGCTATGTTTTCTCAATCCAACTTGTTCATTATCTAGCTTGGGAGTGGCTGCATTTAGGAACTGAAGTGATGCTAGGGAGGATTTTCTGGCTAAAAGGATGCTATGATGGTGGGTTTTGATTGTCAGCTCAAGGAGATCTGGAATCTCTGAGGAGGCAAGCTTCTGGGCACACCTGTGAGAGATTAGTCAAATTAGTCAAGCCTCTGGATGTGCCTGTAAGGTGTTACCTGATTGAGTTGGGAGAAGCCACACTAAAGGAGAGTGTCTACTTCCCTGGGCTTGGGCACTGGGTTACATCTAGAGGAAGAAGCCAGTTGAACACATGCAATGTGACTAGCTGCCTTAAGTGGCTGCTATCAGGGCACGGCCTGGATGATGAACTGATCCCTTAAACTCTGAGGTGAAATAAATCCCTCAGCTGCTTTTGTCAGGGTATTTAAGTAACTAAAACAGACAATGAACACCCACACAAGTTGCTTAGGTAAGGGAATCCCATTTCCTAGGATTGGTCACAACAGTGTAATGTGTCACAACCAGGGCCTTGAGGTTCAAGTATTGTTCTGTCCAGAGACAGGGAGGCAGACCAAGTGACCTGGTTCCTTCTAGTCTGGAGGTCCAAAGGAAAGTGTTCCTAATACAACTTGATACTGTCCCCCCCTCATTTTTCTCCTTAATTTACACTTCCAATTTACAGTGGTTGTAATGTGCTAACGGGTTTCCCTCCCACCAGGGGAAAAAAAAACACGTGTGAGAGTGAGAATTTTCTCCTTGAGAAAAGATAGTACTGGGGTTTTGCTTCTGACTCAAGGGCCTATGAGGTAGGTGTGATGAAACCTCCTCCACAGGCCAGGGTGCCACTGCTTCAGCCGGGTCAGCAGCCTCCTCTGAAGGGAGAGGGAGACACTCAGCCACTTTGAGAGGACAGGAGGTGACTGTTGTGATCCACTTGCAAATCAAGGTAGTAGGAGATTTCAGACGAGGGTTTCTGCCCAGAGCCTGTCTGTCCTGTTTTTGCATCAAACTTGTTAGGACAAAAGCAACCCAAGTTCATCCTTCTTGGGCAGACAATTGTTCTTCCTACTGAATGTGGATAGGAGAGGACACATCAAGAAGGAAGGAGTGGGAAGGGCCAGTTAGAGCGTGGTGGTTGGTTGCATGGCCAGTTATCTGAAAGGCCAACATGAGTATGGTGTCCCTGAGTGAGGATTTAGAGAGAAGGATAGGAGGAAGACTATGAAGGAGGAGGAAGAAGAGGAGGAGGAGGAGCACCATGATGACGATAACGACCAAGTAAGAAGGGCAAGGCCCAGGAACTTGTCATATTTTAAACAGGGATGCCCTAGGTGCCCCAGGAACATGCATTTACAGAGCATGGTATGCAAGAACAAAATTCAGGAAGACTGAGCAAAGCAATTGTCCCCTTCTTTCCAGTATTTATTACTCTAATAATTTCATGCATATATTTAATGTATTTTGGTCATTCTCACATCTCTTGTTGCCCCCTATAATTTCTCATCCATGGCAGCTAAACTCCCCCTTTACCCAATAAGTTCCTTTTCTAGTTCCACATCTTTTAAAATTGTAACCCACTAAATATCATTAAGATGACTTTCACGAGCATGGGTGGGGCATTATTTACTGGGACATGGGCAACTTGACAGGGGCTGTGCCACTGGAGAAAATGACTCCTTCTTCTGAAGCCAAACATTAGTAGCCGATAGCTTCAGGGAAGCATGGGAAACCTAGTGCTTCTTTAAGGCACCCACATCCCCCACGTTCCACAACTATGATTCCATGACTTTTCCCTCTAGCAAGATAGTTTCTATAAAGTTATAAAAGAGAAGATATACTTGTGGAGGAAAAATGATCATGTCTTGAGAATTAAATTTAACAGCCTAAGTCTGCTTATTAAAATTCATCAGCATGCATGCTTTCTCAGATCATGATGACTTCATGGTCTAAGTGAAGAATTTGTATTCCTTTTGAAAATTTGATTAGCATATTCAAGGCAGCTGAAAATAATTTTTGACTGGTAGATGTTATTTCTATAGCATTCTTTGCCTAAGAAAATAGTGTCTCTGAGACTTAAAATTGACAGCTAAGAGTAAAAACCAACATCTGCCCAAGGCTTTCATGGTCTCTGGAACTTTCTTAGGTGTTTGGATACTCTAATTCATTTAATCCCCAGAAAAATCTTTGTAAGGTGATCCAATGCTATGGCAAGTCATTTACTTTACAAATGAGGAATTGGGAGACTGAGAGACTGAGTGAGGTGTCTGGGTTAGGAGTAGACTGTGGATCCAACTAGTTGTTAACTACAAGATCTCTGTGAACTTGAACCTGTCCTATATTCCACCTCTCCCCAAGGGTCAGTGGGGTAGAACAGCTTGGATAGGTGCTGTTCTAGTAGGCATCATTATAAGAGATATGCCTGGGGCACCAGAGTGTGAACAAGGAGTCCTACTTTCCATCAAGTATAAAATAGGTCAATAAGATAGGTCACTTATTAGATGTTGCTATTTGGATTTGGAATTTGAAGTTATTTACATTTCTCAATCATAGAAAAATGATAGCAGTCTCAGGAGGAAGGTACTGTCATTTCTTTCATTTTCTAGATGAGGAATTGAAGACCCAGAAGGAGGTAGGAACACAGCTAGAAAAGGAAGAATTAGAGCAGCCCAGGCTCTGGGCTTTGGAAAATCTGAAATACTTATTCCTACAGTACAAAACAGGACTCAGTGGGGGTTAGGATGAGGACAAATGAAACAGGGTGTTGAGTGTGCCCTCTAGACAGGTGACACCATTTGTGAGTGTGTCTTTGAACTGGGACACACCATTTATGAATATGTCCTTGAGTCTGGCTATACAGAAGGTCAGTGGAGGTGCCCTTCTGGGCTGGCAGTTTCTCACACAAGCAACTTCCTGTGTCCTCTGAGGAATCTCTGCTCCTCCTGTAATCTTAGCTTTCTGCCATTAACTCAGACTCTTGATAAAAGGTTATATTTTGTGCCTTCTATATAGAGTTTGTTAATTACCCAGTGTTTTAAGATGGTATTTTCTCATCCCACCCCATTTATGTTATAATGGTATAAATGTGGGAGCAGGACCTACCCAAATGGATTTATAGTCTTTCTAAGGAGGAAATAATTTAAGTCAAGTGATCAAATGTCTACTAAGGACAGTCCAAGTTCCCCAGAAAGCATTCTTGATCTCAGAGGTCTGAGTTTCTGCTGGCTGTTTCCATGTGGCCTTGTCCCTCTTGTTGCAGCCCAGTAGGACAGTTGTTTTTAATGTAGTAATGGTTAGGATGTGCCTTTACAACATTGTTCTAGCCATAGTGTTTTCTCTAGCTTTCTGCTCTTCCAAACATCCGTTCATTTTCAGAATTCAGTTCAACGTTTGCCATCACCATTGAGTTTCTCTTTATCACCCTTCCCCAGATTATAATATGAAAGGCTCCATTTTATGTCTTTTTACTATATCCTGAATAGTATTCTAGTACAGTACTGGGAAATCATATGGTCCATAAACTAGTTATTGAATATGCTGTGGTACCATATGAGTCTTGCAAAAGGTCTCGTAGAACCCTCGAAGAAGGTTTTACACCATATTCATAGGTACAGATGAAAACTCAACATAATGAAGAAACTTCCCTGTGTTTAATGGATAGTGTTTGCATTTATGAAACTAAGTTTATGGAGAGCAAGGATACCTTTTCTGAGACAGAAATCAAACAAAATGTATCAACATTCAAGACTGTATTCATTTCTGTCTTTGGAGCTTGGGAGAGGGCAGAAAGACAGACTGAGGTGTTATTGCCAATACAGGAGAAAACGCTGTGTCCATTCTTTTTATCTTTGGTATGTGTTGGCAGTTGATAACAGTTTTGTTGAGCACAAACAAATGGATACCTACATTTCTGTTTTGTTTTGATATCTTGAAACAAGGTCTTACCATGTAGTGTAGGCTGGCCTCAAACTCTTGACTTCTGTGCTTCAACTTGCTCAGTTACTACCGTACTGTTTATGTGTCTTACACTCAGAATGTAAAGAGATCATATGGGCAGTGGTAGAGCAGACTTCTCTAGGGAGTTGGACTCACGCTGAGTTGAGGCTGATGGAAGATGTGGGCAGAAGGGTAATTGCACAAAAAGAGGGTTGAAGTTCCTGGGATAATTAACCTGGACAGCAGAATGCTTTCTTTGATGTCTGCAATGCATGTTTGCTCTATAAATTCTCAAGTCAGGAAGGGTTTTTCCTATTTAGTCAGTGCCAGGAAAACATGATAAGATTCTTGTTAGTTACTTTTGACAGCTCTGACCACTTCCTTCATTGATCTCATACCTAAAGGATTAGATTGGAGCATTTTGCTTGCTTGTATCTTTGATGAACATAAACCATCAGGTTCTCAGGCTCACTCAATGGGTTTCCTTTGCAGGTGAACATGTTTGTTGAAGGGTTCCATGATGCCATCCTCCTCTATGTCCTGGCTTTACATGAAGTACTAAGAGCTGGCTACAGCAAGAAGGATGGGGGGAAAATCATCCAGCAGACCTGGAACAGGACCTTTGAAGGTAGGGATTCGGTTTCCATGGCAGCAGCACTGTGGCTAAGTGAACCACTGCTTCTGTGGTTGCTACTTGCTGCAACAAAGACCCTTTCTAGAGACTTGCTTTTTCCAGTTTTAATGTATGGAGAATAAGCCAACTCGCTTCACAGGCTTGTAAAAATAATATCAAACAATGCAATGCATGTAAATGGCGCTGAGCAGATTCTACTTTATTAGGAACTATCTTGCTCCTGGCTTATTTAGATAACACTTATACTAGTGTGTGTGTGTGTGTGTGTGTGTGTGTGTGTGTGTGTGTGTGTGTGTGTGTGTAGGCTAGAACTTCATGTCAGGTTTTATTGTTCTCTGACTTAGTTTTTGAAGCAGTCTCTCACTGAATCTGGAGCTCACTGTTTTGGCTAGATTGGCTGTGCAGCAAGCCTCCGAGACCTACCTGTTTCTACGTCTGCTAGCATGAGGATTACAGATGTGAATGGCTGTGCCCAACTTTTCACATGGGCATGAGAGTCAGAACTTGGGTCATCACACATGGGCAGTGAGCACTTTACCCATAGAGCCATTACCCCTGCTCTGTGCACTTAAAAAAACACACACACACTTAACGTAAGTGTATTCGCCCAAGAACAATGGGTGTGGAAGATCTGCTGTCAGGCTTAAAAGTGTGTACAACCCCATGTTTGGACCATGTTGGCTTTAGTGAAATGCAGATGTTAGCTCTCGTATCCAACCTGGTGGTTAGAGGTGGTTAGCAGGCCCAGGCCCTCCGTTTTTTTTGACTTTCAAAGTAGTGAATATTAGTTCCTGCTTAACAAACAAACAAAACCAAACAAACAGACAAAAACAGGAACATGTAAAACTGACAACAACAACCTACATCGACCTTGAAAAATGGGACTACTCTTGGCTAGAAAGTTTAAACAATCTCCTTTCTCCAATGCAATCACTGTTCTAGATGACTCCAGAAGTGTGTTATGCTTTCTGATAGCACATAATATATACCACTCGAAACTTTTATAAACCAGATCTCGTTGTGAACACCAGTTTTCATTTTAGTTCCATTTATATTTCACTTTTTGGTATGAGCACTCATAGATCTAACCTAACCTATTTTAAAATGAGAGTTAAATGTGATTCCGCAACATAATTTCCTTAATTCTTTTTGCTTGTTTTGAGGTAGGGTCTTACTATGTAGTCCTGGCTGACCTGGAACTTGCTTATATAGACTAGACTGGCCTTAGACATGAGGCACTCCTACCTCAGCCTCCTCAGTACTTGGGTTACAGGCCACCCTCCCCCATTTCTAATTTACCTTTGTTTGGAGGATACTTCAGTTAGTTACAGTTTTCCTTATTCTGCAGTGTGGTGTCATAGGCACTTGCACACCTTGATGGAGTTTTGTGACTATTTCTTTCAGAGAACATCCCTAATGGTGAGGGATTTGGGTCTCAAAGTATCTTGGTGCTTTACAAAGTGCATCAAATGTTGCCAAACTTCCTTTTCTTTTAATAGGCTCTGTTGATTCAATCGCCACCGAATGGCTTCTTTTTTAAAATTTTGTGATTATAATTACATTTCTTCTTTTCCTTTCTTCCCTCCAAACCCTCGTATGTACTCCCTCCTCCTCTCCTTCACATTCATGGCCTCTTTCATTTTTCACTAATTGTTATTACATGCATATGTGTATATATATGTACATATTTGTGCATACAGATATATATTTCTAAATATAACCTGTTCAGTCAGTACAATGTTACTTGTAAGTATGTTTTCAGGACTGACTATTTTGCCAAACATCTTATAGAAAATTTGGCTAATCTATATTTTTTTGTCAAGAGTGCATATAGGAGCAGTGGTTTCCTCTTATCTCACCAACACTCCAAACTGGCATGAGCTGGTTCCTAGAATAAGCTCATCTAATACATCCAACAGGCATCTGTGATATGCCAGGCACTGTTCAAGGAGCCTGGGATGAAGCAGAGAGCAAAAGATGTTGCCCATAATCAGTTTGTCTTATTTGCAAATGTGCGTGTATAGGAACAGGCAATAAACACCCCTCCCCCACTCCAGGGGCTGTAAAACGAAGCAGAGTGGGGAGACAGAACGTGGTGGGTAAGAGAAGTCAAGGAAAGGCTGTGAACATGGCATCTGATTGGGACCTGAGGGCGACAGAAGTCATTTTGTTTAGGAGACAATGGCACAGAGGAGGTAGCAATTGCATTGTCGTCTGGATGTATGTGGTAGAAGGTTGTCCCCTGAGAAGCTTGGAGGTATATGTGGCTGACATCTGAATATATGGGACAGTGTCATAGGACCCAAAGCTCAAGATGCAGCGGGGCCAGACCCATGGTCCTGGAAACCCACTGAAACAGAAAGCCACTTTAGTTTCCATGGAGATGGTATGCCTCACTGGTGCTCTGTAGTGCCTAACCTGCAGCATGCTGGGGAGCATCTTCTGATAACCATCAACACAGAGTGCAGACTGGGGAGACAGGAGGCAGGAGCCTGCATCCTCTGTAAGGAGGCTGTGTCAGTTCTGCTTCCCGTCAGCTTGTCCTGGGAGCCCTTTAGTGGACTGGAGAATGCCTATACTTACTTGTAATCTCATGGGTGAAACTTTTCAAAGACATGAACAAAGCCAAGTCTAGATTTGAGAGTGGAGCACAGGATGGTCCCCTCTACGTTCAGTGGCCTCAGCTTGTCCTCAGATATTACTAGGAAAGGGCAGTAGGGTGGAGTGGAGCTCCAGCTAGGGTTGTCTGGGTAGCAGCTATGGTAGCTACTGGTAAGTTTCTTTTCTCTATGGTGGTCTCAGTGAATGCCATGTTTCACTCTGAACAAGAGTGACAGCTTTCATTTTAGAAAAGTAGTTGCCTGGGGGTGAAGACACTCCCTCGATGCGCTCATTTTGCCTCTTCCTGCTTCAGCTGAGGGGCAGGAGTCAAATAGGGCAATTCAGGGGGCATATTAGGACAAAGTTAAGTTTCCCAGAACTTATGCACAACACACCAAGAAACTGGTGTGTGGGGACACAACCTTGGTCAGGCACATCCCATTCTTAGCTATTACTCACTGCATGGTGTGGTCATTTGTTCTTGGTCTTCTGACAGTGGGACAGGAGCCAGAGTTGGGGACACTGAAAGACACCACTGGGCAAAGTGGTTGAGAGAAGGGTAGGTGCCCACAATGGCTGGGATATAGTTCTTTTTAGAGCTAAGACAGGTGCCAAGTTTTCTTATATGCCATCTTGATGGTTCCATTTGAGGGCCAGGTCTACACAGTCAGTATGCACCAAGAGGAGAAAGAGTTGTATAGTTGAGTCTGAAATTAGAATCTTGTGTGTCCAAAATGTAAAGATTGATGCCAAGGTGAGCTTGGATTTGAATGACTCAGAGAGCCTATTTATTGGCTGAGCAGCAGTCCATTTGAAGGCAGCCCCTCAAAGAACTCTAAGGTGGATGTGTGAAGAAAAACTCAAGCCTTCCTAACATTAAAAACACTTTTAATTTTAGTGGTTTCTGTAAGTGACCATTAAGTTGTCAGGAGAAAAAAATACCCTGGATGTTGTTTGACAAAATTGGGTTTTATTGCCGGGAAACCTATGATCAACTCTCAAGACTTTCAATACATGGTTCAAAAAGAAGCCATGTTTCCTCTGTGTGAGAGGTCAGAGGGACAAAGTAAACAGGACTGTGTGTGGCTCAGGACACAGGCTCCACTCTAGGCAAATGGAAGCCGGGTTGGAGAGAATCATTGCTGATATGAAGGAAAATTCTGCTGTCACCCTAACAAGTTCACCTTCTGCTTGATACCCTTAGGTGAAGTCTCACTTTGCAAAGCAGCCACCCCAAGAGTTCTCACCCCATTTCTTGACAGAACTGCAATCACTTAAAGGTGTAATGAGGCATTGGATTACTAGGGCCACTGCATCTTATAAAACACTTTGCAAAGCACTGAGCAGGACAGAGCTTCCCAAACACCTCTGGACAGAATGACCAGATAGCCACATGTTTAGAGAACAGATGTATATGTATATGTATATATGTATATGTATATGCCCACATATACATATATGTATGTGTATATGCACATATACACATATATGTATATGTATATGCATACACACATTTACATTTATATGTATGTACTAAATGTATATGACTTGAAGTTTTATAGGCTCCCAAGGATGCAAAAGTTTGTGATACGTGCATCCTTTGTAACCTGACTGTATTAAGAAGTCAAAAAAATGAAGATGAATGGTAACTCCATTCTGTTTCCAGCAAAGTAACCCAAAGTCTGGAAAAATAAGTGGACCTTCAAACCACAGCCCAAAGAACAGTAAACCCAAATGCCTACCCTCTCCAAGCCACACAAGAGGATGGAACTTTCCCTTGGGATGCTCCTCAGTAGACACTCATTTTCCTGGGGCAGTCACTACTTCTGGGGAAGGCCCAATTAAGAACAGTAAAGAATTCTCCCACAAAGAGAACAAATGACTTGTGTTAATTAGAACATGGCTGGTGCACACATCCTGCTGCTTAGTGAATGAAGATGCAAATACAGATGGTGTAACGTCAGCCATTGCTCTCTGGTGGCCTTTTGGGTGTTTAGGTGCTGTGAGCACCCATCATCGCTGGTCAAGGTGGGTGGGCCCTCTGTGCTCTGGCTGCTCTGTTCCAGCCTCATGTCTCACTGACTTTGTTCGTGAGCATGAACCGTTTTTATTAGGAGCTTCCCAGTTCTCTGGTTCTTTTATGTCTTAGGGTCTTTGTAAATTATACCAGGTCAGTAACTTACACTTCTTGATAGTGGTTTGAATCATAGGTTTCTGCCTGTGTGCTAGTATAGAGATTTTTGTAATCCCATAATCCCGGCCTTTTTTTTGTTAACTTGTGCTGAGTGGTCCTTTGAGTGGTGGAACATGGTCAAGTGCCTTCTATGATAACTCAAGCACAGTAATGATAATGATAACTTTAAAATAGCACATTCCATCCTCAAATCTGAAGCTCAAAATGCCCCCACACTTGAATAGTTTGTGTGTCAAAATGACACCACAAATTAAAAAAAAAGAAACTTCCTAATAATGGAAATTTATCTTATGCAAAAAATTGCTGCCCAAAATACCGCATTAAGATTACCTTCTGGCCATGCATCATAGTGTATATGAAATGAAAGAATCTTGTGCTTAGACTTGCATCCTGTCCCCAAGATGTCTTATTATATGCATGCAGATATTAAAAAATTTGAAAACATCTGAAATCTGCAACACGTCTGGCCCCAAGTACGTTGGCTGAGGGCTACCCAGCCTGTGAGAATAATAATGATAGCCGTAGTGACACTGTAGAGGAAAGAGCTGGTGTTGCTTAAATATCTGTTGGAGATGTCTCACGTGTCTTATCTCATGTGCTTATCTCCACGGCCTCCTGGTAGGAACATGAGCTTATGCCTGTTTATGCTAGTTGTAGAGGCTGAGGTTCAGAGGACTAATGCCTTGGCCAAGGTTGCAGAGGTTATGGAAAGACAAAACTGCAATTCAGTATTCTGATTCTTTAAGAAAAAAAAGAAAAAGAAAACCAATCCAAAATTACATTAAAAATTTCAAAAAATTATTCTCTGTCTCTGTCTCTGTCTCTCTGTGTATGTGTGTGTGTGTGTGTGTGTGTGTGTGTGTGTGTGTGTGTGTGTGAAAATCAGAGGACAACTTTTGGGAGTCAGTTTGCTCCTTCTACTACATGGGTCCCAGAGATCAAACCTATGGCCTATGCAAGCATCTTCACCTACTACTCTGGCCCCAACCAGCTTATTCTAATGGGAAAAGCTGAATCCTCAGTCCAGGGCCCTCCTTGAGCAGAGAGTCTGTCTGCTCTAACTTAACCTTTGCTGCAGAACTAAGTCAGCACCCAGGAATCTTCCGCATAATGTTTGAATACGCGATGAATGAACACACACTGGGCAATGAAGAAGTGCTCTCTAGATATTGGCTCTGGGGACCCACCAACCAGACTTCCTGCTCTCCCATGTATGAAGCATGCTCACTGAATCCTGGCCAGCCTGATTTTGCTTAGGAGTTGTCCAATGACCACATGAACCTATGTAGGATAAGACATCTTCTCTGCTACTTTTCAGAAAAAAATTTCTAGAATAAGCACACTGCCTTGAGCATTAGCCTTAATCTGTTTTTTTTTAAAACTATTCCCCAAAGATCCTTTCTGTCTTTTTCTTTTCTTTTTTAAATGGAGAAATGTTAAGAATTTAGGAATGCAGACACAGATGAAATTACAATGTCTTTCCAAATGCCAACAAAAATGCTTCCAGACTGATGTGATTCCCTGTGGCATAAATTTGTTTTAAAAAATCCCATCAATTCCTTTTCTTGGCAGGCAGAGGTACCGTAAGTAACTAACACAGAGTTCTTTACCTCTTCCGTAGGTATTGCCGGGCAGGTGTCCATAGATGCCAACGGGGATCGGTATGGGGACTTCTCCGTGGTTGCCATGACTGACATTGAAGCAGGCACCCAGGAGGTGAGTAAAGGAAAATTCTTCATTGGTCATTCTTGCAAGTAGGCACTCTTAGAGTGTACTTTTCCTAGTGTTCAAATAAAAATGAGCCTTCCATGAAGGAAAATCTCACTGTTGATTGAGGGGACAGGCAGAAGGCAGGATATACAGCCATGTGTGTTCTTGGTAGAGAACTGTCAAGTGTCACTCCTTAGCCATGTGTAATAGGGGCATCAGTCCACAGAGGAAGTGTGACTTACCTGCCTCTAGCATTTCCAGATTTTTTCCTTAGTGGTTGGTACAGATTTTCAAAAGATAGAGTTTCAGGACAGAGAGGTCTATCCTGGACTGAAGATGAGTCTGTGACAGTCACCAGGGGCAAGGGTTCCCTGCTTCAGTTTCTTCAGCTACAACATGGGAATCATGCTATTTTCCTTGCTGGTTTCATAACGTCATTAGAACCATATGAAATGAAATCTAGGAAAGTAACATGTGACCTGTAATTGACAGGTAAAGAGAAAGAAATAGGTATTACATAAATATTCAGCAGATAATGGTGACTGCCCTGTTTCCTTGCAAGGCCACTACTCTTTTTTTTTTAAACTTACTTTTTATTTATTCTTTGTGTCTTTCACATCATGTATATAGATTCCATTCATCTTTTCATTCCTTCATATTCATCTGCTGCCCTTGCACCCCACCCCAGTAAAATAAAATAAAAAAAATAAAATTTAAGAGAAAAAAAGAATCTGATTATGGAAGCTGTAGCATGACCTAGTGAGTCACACAGTATACCCTTTTGTCCATATATCTTTACTTGCAAGTGTACATTGCAAAGAGGCTGGTCTGAGGCCTCTGGATTATGCTACATCATCAATACTGGGACCTCACTGGGGTTCCTCTTGGATATTCTGTGCCATGGAGGTCCTGAAGCTTTTGATCTGTAGGATGTGTCCCTTTATGTCATAGATGGGGTGCTTGTTGGGGTGGGTCGACTCGTAACTCTGGTTCTGGGCTTGGGTGGTTGCAGGTTTGGTCAGTACACCAATCCCCCCTCCCCATCCTCACCACCAGGGTGAGCTCTCAGGCATTGCTCCAGCTAGTTTATCCTATGCAGCAATAAGCAAGGGGTGGAGTCAGTTCTCCTGCTTTCAGGCTCTCAGGATAGGCTTATTCACACCTACACATTCAGGGTCAGGCAAGGTGCACAGACCACTCTCCCAATTGCTGCAGCTGGTGAGGAGCAGATGCAGCTTTTCCATTCTAATAAAGGTCACTACTCTTGTTGCCTTTTTGGGTACTGACATAGGTTTTTCCTCTCTGTGGGATGTGCTTAGCCTTTATGGAGGGGAGAGGGAGCTGGAGCCCTTTCGCTGTGTTCACAGAATGGTTTCAGATCTCTCCCTTCCTGGGTCTTGTCTGCAGTCTAGCTTCCTCCTCTGACAGTCCATCTCATCCCATTGTGAGGCTGTAGTGTGCAGAGCACTTGGGATCTGCTCAGCACATAGCAGCCACTGTCATGGTTCATGAGAGCCTAGAATCGTTTTGACCCTGAGCAGATACAGCCTGTGAGAGCCTGCTGTAGCTCAGTCAGGAGGGAGGAGAAATGTCACAGGCCACCCAGGAGCCACAAGTTTGTGCCCAGACAAAAGAGGGGGATCCCTGGAAGCTTTGTGTGAGGAGGCACTGCCAGATAGTCTCATGTGACTGATATAATCGTCATTTCACTGGAGCATGACCCTGCAATTACATCAGGAATGAATGATGATTTTTTTCAGGGGTCTAGGGTGACAGCTGAAACAGAGATCAATCTGATAATGGCAGAGTACAAGGAGTGAACACATTAGAGACAAATGTGACCCCTAAGGACAGGGCACTAACCAAAAGAGCAGAAAGTTCTTCAAAGACCCAATTTTTAAATTGCATTTATTTATTTGCTTGTTTAGTGTGTGTGTGTGTGTGTGTGTGTGTGTGTGTGTGTGTGTGTGTGTGTGTGTGTGTAGGTCAGAGGACAATTTGTAGGAGTTGGTTATTTCATTCATTCCAACATGTTGGTCCTGGGTATCAAATCCAAGTCTTAAGGCCTGGTGACAAGGGCCTTTACCTCCAAAGTCATCTTTCTGTCACTCTAAATTATATTCTTTAGTGTTATAATTATCTGTCAATCTAACCAAGGAGTGTAGGGTTGGGTACCTGTCACATACTTAACGTAAGTATGCATGCAGCAGCATTGGCTCTGTCACACACCCCTGAGGGAAGTGGGTTTACACATGACTGACAGTGTGGGCTGGTCTGTGGCTGAAGGCCAGACAGGGCTCTATGGGATGAGCCAGGAAAAAGCTGTCAATTCGTGAGATTGTAGACTATTGTTTCATAGGGAAATGAAAATCCCACCCTCCCCACTATGCAGCAACAAATGATGAATACCAAGGGACAACATTGGTGGGGTATAGCCTCCATTACAGACAGACCTCAGGTGGCACTGTCTTTGTCGTGTCCACACCTTTCCACACCTACATGACCCTGATTCCTTCCCACCCCGAGGAGCCGCTGTGACAGTTTGTGTACACAACAGGGGAGCCTCCTTCCCATTTCTCATGCTTTTCTGACGCTCTTGCTGTCACTTCCTGCAGGTGGTGATATGTAGAGGCACCCTGTGTAGATCAGGCTGTGTTTTGGGAAGCAAATGCAAGCCTATGAGCTTATGCCTCCTTTGGGAACATGTACCTTTGGCCTTTCATTTTGTACGTCTGACTTTTGCCTTTCTGTAGGTTATTGGTGATTACTTTGGAAAAGAAGGCCGGTTCAAAATGCGATCCAATGTCAAATATCCTTGGGGCCCTTTGAAACTGAGAATAGACGAAACCAGAATTGCGGAGCATACCAATAGCTCTCCTTGCAAATCATGTAAGTTCAGAGACTTAATTTACTGTTCCTCCTCTTCTTTGATCCCGGGTTCATATGAGTCTGACACATGTTGCTCTCAAGGACTCATGTCCTGAAGTGCCCATGTCTTTTTCTGATGCCTTCAAACGCATGGGAACAACTTACATGTCCACCCCTCCTCCATTACCAGAGGTGTCCATCTTTCTTCCCTTTATTCTTTTCTTCCAAATGGTAGAATATTCTGCCTGGATTTATATCTCTTTATACAATCTGTTAGTTATTAGAGGTTTCCATTTCAAGAAAAAAGTAAAAATATTATTAACTGTTTTCCATTCATCTACTGTTACAAACCTCATTATTGATTTTAAAGTTTACAGTTGATCTCCAAATCCTCAGGATGGAATGGGCAATGCTCTTAAACACCTGGTAGCTTACAAAGTGGCAAATAAGTATTGAACATATTATTTACAGCCAGTTTATGGATGCAGACAGGGAAGCAAGTGTATCTTCCTCAGAGATAGGAACATTTTTTGAGGTGATTGTCTTTGAGGGGCTTTGGTAATCATGAGGAAGAACAAGTGATATCAATCTTGCAGGCCAGTTAGTGATTTTCGGTGAATACATGAATGGTCATTATGTCTCAGGAACGTCTTTCAATGATGAGGAGTTTATATCCATGCAATGGTTATGAGAAAGAATTAATGGAGACATGTGTTGACTACATAGTCTCTCACTTTTCTTCTTGCCTGTTTGGGGACCCTAGGAGAGTTCCTTCAAGTCACCAATCCTCATTTTTCTCAGACATAAAGTGAAATGTACCCAGCTTTGATCTGAGGAGCTGATGAGACAGTGCCCTTTAGGCTTACTCTAAACTCTGCAAGGAGAGGAGCTGTTGATTTTTTCTAGACCTGAGTTCCCGATGAGAAGGACTGATCGGTTTACATTTCACAAGCTATGTAGGACATTTTGAGATGGAACTCTGGCTTTGGTGAGAGAACGTCTAAAAGCAGAATACTGACCCAATACAATTTTCCTCAAATCTTCTAACACTTTGAAGTGTCACCATCCACCTGTGAGAAACAGAAGAGCTGGGTCAGCGCCTTTGCCCACCCAGGACTCTTTCTTTGACTCTGAACTCAAAAAGAGTATGGACGTGTCTGAAATCTTGAGTTTCTAGCCTCATCAAACCCTTCTTGAATCTGTTGTTTCTTTCTCTGTCCATCATTCCTTCCAACCTTCCCTCCCTCCCTACTGCTCTTTCTCTCCTTCTTTCTCTCCCTTCTTCTTCCCTGTTACAGATCTTACTATGTAGCTCAGGCTGGCCTCAAACTTGAGATCTTCCTGCCTCATCTTCACAAATGCTAGGATGACTGCCACTTGTCCCAGGGTCAACTCAGAACTTGTTTTGCTACTGTTCTCTTCACTGTCATGTGACAGTGCATATATTTAGTGCTTTCTGAAAAGCATATACCAAACAAGGAAGACAGTCTAGGACTTCTCATAATACACACACACACACACACACACACACACACACACACACACGCACGCACACACACGCACGCACGCATGCACACATCAAAGAAAGGAAGTTTTGTTTCAACTGGGAGATGAACGATGAACACAAATCAAAGTATTTTTACTTATTTCTTTCCAAATGAGCTCTGATTAGTGATGTTTCTTTTTCAAGCAGGTGGCCTAGAAGAATCAGCAGTGACAGGAATCGTGGTGGGGGCCCTACTTGGTGCTGGTTTGTTAATGGCCTTCTACTTTTTCAGGTAGGGACCATTCATGAAGTTAAAATTCACTTTGCTTTTTTTGTCTTCATCTCCTGTCTTTGCATAATGCTCCCTGTGATTTGCCCATACCCTTCTTTCCAAGAAAAAGGACGACGGTTAAACTAGCAAAGCCATTCTTGGGTGCAATCTTGGGTATGGTGGTCATCTTGGGTTATGAGTTTCTATTGTACTCTTGCCACCATGGACCAGAGAGTTTCTGAGATCTCTGGATCACAGATATGTTTATGAGAGTCCCTTCTACCTACTAAATGTAAACATGGAGAGGAAATATGGACCAAGGACGAACCTCTCCTCAGACATCCTTCAATTCAGAAATAAGTGACCATGTTCACCTTGAACAGCTGGAGAGAGTTCATAGTGATCTCTGATCCAGGCTACAATGTGTTCCGTATTTGGAGAAGTCACATGTTTAGCTGTTGTGACTCAACGTCAAGGCTCGTAAACTGGTAATATGTACATGTGTTCAAGGTTTTGGTCGTTTGCTGCAGTGGTGGTGGTCCATTCTTTAGTAATCTCATGGCTTATTTGTAAGGTTTCTTCAATTTCACATGGAAATGTAAGTCTGGGTGTATGTGGCTCTTTGTGGGAACAATCGTGTTCCTGTTCCTTTGGTCACAGTACCAAAGATCTTTATCGGGGGGCAGGGAGGCATATTCTGGGAGTTAAGCAGAGCTTCTGGGGCAGAATAGATAAGGCTGAACCCACAGGCTCCCGGGGAAGAAGGGGAAGGCTTGTTCTATGGTATTTCAGAAAGCAGGCCAATTTTCTTCCTTGAATAAAGGACATGATGCCTCGGGGCACACTACTTTAATCTCTGACCAGGGTTTCATATGTGTCGCTTCTAATTTATCAAACCTAACCCAGATGTCCCTAGAAGGCATTCTTGTAAGAGGAGCCATAGTGTTTTATTGTCCAGTGAGGTTTTATTATTGCATTTGTTCTGCTTTTACCCAGGAAGAAATACAGAATAACCATTGAGAGGCGAAATCAGCAAGAAGAAAGGAACATTGGGAAACATCGGGAACTACGCGAAGACTCCATCAGATCTCACTTTTCAGTGGCTTAAAGCCCCCTCTCTCTTTGTCTGCTTGAGAGATAGATGGAAGGAAGGACATCAGTGGGACAGAAAGGGCATTTGTGGAGAATTCTTTGTTTTACGCAGTAGTCATTTCACTTTAAATTTCCTTTAGAAGCTCAGGAATGATTATTAATCACTATCTGCCTCCAGGCCATTCATCTCATGGCAAATATATACAGATATGACGCCATTCTATTAGGTGTTCTGACTGTGGGAAGGGCATAGGATTAGATTTATGTTTTGAGTATCTGGCGTCTCCATATCTTGATGGCTTTGGGGGCCTTTCACACAAGGATATAAAAATGTGGCTTTTCTGAAAGGAAATGTTTTGTAGCTAGAATAAAACACTTTTTACAAGTAGAATATTCTTGGAAAGAATTTAACACCCAATAAGAGGACAATGGAATGAAAACAATCTCAAGGCTGAGAATGCAGGTTTCCCCTCTCTGGAGCCAGTGGACAAGTTTGTGGTAGGCAAGGGCTGTGTCCAGTGTCTATGTTCAGGTCTGACTTCATATCTCCAGAAAGCATCCTCCCTGTCTCTTTCAGTGTCTCCAAAAAGCTACTCTGGAAAATTGTAAATATTAATGAGCTAGGAGGATTTATATAGGAAAAGCAAGTCTAAAATGTTTCTTTTATGATGTAAAAAAAAGCCCTACTTCACGCTAACATTTTATTTTTAAGTATTTTAATCTTATATTTTGGTATTAGAAATGTGTCTATTTTTTCATTTTGAAGATTAAATTTCACTTATATTTTAAAAGCATGGAGGAAGTGTGTGACAAATCCATGGTGGTGAAGGGATGGCCTCTCTTTCTCTGCTGTCCACTTTCCCTTGGCTGTGGCCAGATACTCACTGCTGCTCTGACCACAGACATCTAGAAATAGATTCAGTTTACAAACTCTACAGGGATACATTGATGTTAAGCCATTTTTCATTTTTAATTGTTTTAAATACTGGAGGTCTCCATCCCTTCTAAGTATGGCCAAATGATTCACTTCAAAACTGAGAGATGGAAGTCAGTAGAGTTAAGCAGAGGTGACACAGAAATGCAAACCTTTCCCTCAAGAAGAAACGGGGTGAGAATTTGACAGTGAAGCACAGAAATGATACATTAAAAGGTATGCAATTTATCAAAATGTGGCTAAAAGAGGGAATGTTGATATCTGCCGTGTCTCCTGATCCCCACAGAATTTTGCAGCCAACACGAATCACCCACAGGGCATTAGAATAGTGCATTGTGGGTAGGACTGAGTCAACTTTAGCTGGGTATCCAATTTGCAATCAGTTCAGTGTACTGACTGAGGTTTAAATTTGGGTTCCCACTTCATTGTTTTGGGGACAGAACAAGGATACTGTCCTGTAATTATGCTTTTCTTGGTAACATTTAAGTATCTGAAGCACAGTTTAAAGAGGAGAAATAGCATAATTCCTTGGAGGCCATATTCACTCAGGTTAACAGAAGAGGAAAGTCTAGCGAACACAGAAAGTTCTGGAAGCTGTCTCATGCTTGTATCCCTGGGAAGGGCTACATCACATCTGATTGCATCCCACTTGAGTCAAAGTGAATGGGCTGTTTCTGTGTGAGATACACTTCTTTTTTATGGTTCAGAAAATGGGATGCAAAACCATGTAATAAAAGGATTAGCCATGGACAACGGGAGAAACTACACCGTGGTTCTGCACTGGGGCTATTAAAGGAAAAGTGTCCGACTTCAAAAAGAGTGAAAAAGTAGGTGAGAAAGGTAAATTTCAAAATTCTAATGAAGGAGGAGAGTTTGTGATATAGAAGTCAGGAAAGCAGTAGTAGCTGACGGTTGGAAACTCACATAACTAAAACAGAGCACACAGATCGCAACCACTTCAGTTCTCTAAACAAGAGAGCTGATCTCCCTCTTCTACGTTTCAATCATCTTTTCCATACATTTCAGAGATACTCAGTTTCTAATGTTTTGTTTTTGAACCTGCATGTTAATTACAGGAAGGTGATGTTGGGGAAAGTTCTCTACTTGACTATATTCTTTGATGTAAATATTTCAACCTTTCTTGAATTTATACAGTGGCCCATTAATGGCAGCAAATATCTTTTGTTTTTGCCTCAGCTTAGAGGAACTGTTACAAGTTTAATAGCTCATTCCCAGGTAAGGTGTTAAAGATGAGAAAGGAGTTAGCCTTGTTAAAAAAAAAGCAGGATGACTTAAGACATCTCTGGAGTATGGAGTCATTTCTAGTATTATTAAGGTCATTTACATGTCTGCTGTGTAGTTTTTCTTTCTTAAACATCTTCACATGGTTAGGCAAGGTCTTTAATTTCAGTACTTGAGAAGCAGAGTAGGTAAATATTTGTGAGTTTAGGACCAGCCTGGTCTACATAGTGAGTTTCAGGTCAGCTGTATTTACACAGTGAGACCCTGTCTCAGAAAAATAAATCTTCACATGAGTTGCCCAAACTACTTTAAGTTTTGAAAACACCACTAAGCTGGCAAACCTTTGCTGAGAGTATAGATGTCAGTTCTGTGGTAGCTCTGGGTTAAGAACTCTTAAATTCCTAACTGCTGAGCAACAGCTTTGACAACTAGTCATTCATAATCTGCCAGTAGCCAACTATTATATAACAAACTAAATGGGGCTTTAGTTCTTAAGCCAGTCTATACATTTTTACTCTTAAATCCAATTATTAAAGTTTCAAAGGGGGGTATTTTACTAGTATTTTTCTCATCTAGTCAAATACAAGTTCATACACAAATTAAAATAAGCACATAGTTACTGTGTTGGAAATAAACACACATTTTATAGCCAACATTATTGTCTTAGATTTGGGAGAGAAGACAAACTCAGAAATAAAACTTTCTGTGTGTGTGGAGCTGTGTCTCTTCCACCCAAACAGAGGTGTTACAAGGAATCCCTTCAGCACTATATTGCTCTTAAGAACCACTGGTGTGTCTTTTCCTGAACCACAGATATAGTTCCACAGGCCTTAAAATAGTTCTCTACATCTCAGGACTCATGGGGAGAGGGAGAATCCAATGGAATGGGAGCAGATGCCCCCCTTTCCTTCTCCCATGAGTGAAAAGCTTTGGAATACCAAGTCACTTCCCCTGCTCACAGGCTTCCTGTGCCTTACTGAAGACACATGCACCTTTTCTGTCCCTAACTTACCTCCTTCCTTCTGGTTGGGACAGATTGTAGGGATGTAAGAGGGCAGTGGGAAGTGAAAAGGGAGGCCTTGTGTATCTCAGACATACAGTGAGTGCTTTCCAAAGCCTTTCCAGTGGCACCATTGTTTTCTGGAAGCTGAGCTACTTGTGCAGTTCTTTTTACACACACACACACACACACACACACACACACACACACACAGGCGCATGCAAGAAAGAACAGTGTTTACAAAAAAGAATAGTGTTTATAAATTGGAAAAATACTAGTGCCTATGTTTCTTGACACACAAAGAACTCAGATCCCTAACAGATGCAGCTTGGAAGGCAAATGCCAATTTGAAACTTGGTCCCTCTACCTACATGTCATGGATTTTGTTTAGTTCCATCTTGTGGTTCAGGACTTCAGAAGGAAGCTGATAATGAGCTGAATTTCTCATTCAGTGGAACAAAAGGAAACTGTCTAGAAACACAGAGTACTTTATGGACAGCATAGACATAGAGAGAATGAGTTGGTGGCACCAGAGAGACCGGTCTCTCTTCCAGTTGGTCTTTAGGACTGAAGAATAATGAACACTTCTGACCATCTGCAATAGCCAGTCTCAACAAGGAGCATTGAACATGCCCAGTGAGAAGAATCAGGAGCTTATTTCTCCCAAGGCGATAGAGAGAAGAGCTTTGCAGCTGACACTGTCTCTACGGCCTTTCTTTCCAGAGCCCCACCTAGCATCCATCACGGCTCCATAGATGTGTCAGCACCTTTCCCATGCAGGTGGGAGCTTGAGAGGAGGCCTCCACACTCACTCAGAGAAAAAGACAAAATAGCACTGGCTGTGAGGAGGTAACTGACTTCTAACCAGAAGTCTTACAGTAACTTGGCCACACATGGCCTTGGACAGTTCAAGTCTGAGATTTTCATATACACTAGTGAGTCTTAGCTTTGGTTCTCAGCGTGCTGATTTTTCAAATGTCTCCTGCAGACCTATATGGTGAAAGTAACTCTCAAAAGATGCTGGCTTGGATGTTGTTCAAATCTCTTTTTAATCACTAATGTTAACTTGTCCCAAACCCAGAAAGTGCATTCTGAACCAGCTGATGTTGGTGTTTATGCTTTAAGTCACTTCAAACACAATGAAAAGGATTTCAGTGAGAGCTGAATCTTGGATGTAAAAATTCACATATTACAAAAACTCTTAAGTGTGTCAGGTCTGAGATGATTCTTAGCAGAGAGATTTGAACAAATAGACCTTGGAGTTAATAGAAAAAGTTACATTTCTTTGATTCATATTTAAAGACATAAATTTATATGCACAGGAACAAAGGGTCCATTTACCAAGCATGAATCCCAACAGGCTGCCAAATTCATTTTTATTTTCTAGAATAAAGCTGTCGTAGTATATAACTATTATTGGATAGAGCAGAATTTATTTGTACAAAGCAAGAAGAAAATGTGGGGTTTGACATGGAGTACCTTATTCATGATTCAGTGCTTGTGTCTGAAAATGTTCAATGTTGTATAGCAGATAAGTCATCAGTGAAGTGCCCTCAACAGGTCAGACGTGCTGTGGTTCTAAGAATCAGAACTTTGTCCCCTTTGCATAGCTGAAACAAGGGGGTCATGAGCTAGGCATTGCAGAGCGTCAATCCTGGAGCCCATGTCTTTTGAGCCATATTGTAAATGGATAATTTAAATACAGGACTACCAAATAAATACAAACCTACCGTGAATCTGGTAGAAAAGTCAAAGCTGCACTTGCTACATACAACTTGATATTCTAATGTAAGTAGAGCTATCTGCATATAATGTGATTTAATTTATTGTCATTTTGTGTAGAAAGTGAGAATTGATGACTGTGGATATAGCCCTGTTTTGTATAATATATTTTATTTCTGGTGCAAAACTGGTCACTTAAACAATCTACTTCATTTGGTGTTTGGACATAAACGTCTGTGTTCTTGTAAACGTTTCTATTAAGCAAGAATACCGTGTATTCCAAATATAACAATATATTCTCATTAAAAATATACTCTACAGAAACAGTTGCCTCTCTATAATTTGACTGAGAATTTTCTAGTCTCTTGAATAAGCTGAAGTAAAAGGCCAATTAGTGGAAATGAAGGATTATAATATTTGGATGACATTCATGAGAGAACTCAAGAATTTCTGTCCCACAAAAGGAAACTCATAGAGATAATATGCCATCACAATGAGTCCCAACCCCTGAATACATAGTCTTAGCAGGAACAGGAAGAAAGGCGGCTTGGAGAACAACCACTCTTTTTGAATCTGTGCATCTTGAGACACTATGTTCTCCAGTTGATGTCAGTAGCTCATGTTATTATGGCCATCACCCACTTTGTAGAGTCCTTCAGTCCTATTGTTCAAAGGGCTCTTAGGCTCCTGTGTACCAGCAGAGTGACCAGTCTGCAGTATCTCTAGAGTCATCTCATCTGAAAAAGGCTATCTCCCTCTCTGGGAAGTGACCATAGTGATGGGTATGGCTGGAAAGTGTCCCCTCGGTCCTGATAACATGATCAGTGAGGTCCCTGAATGATGCCACAGACGCTACTTACACTGGGAGTGTTGTACTTACATTGAGGAGATGTTGCAGCAGATGCCGGTTGCAGTGAGGCAGCATGGAAAGGCATTGTAAGAGTGAAGGGCAAGGTTCTCTGGGAAACAGTTATTAATTCCTGTTACTTTCTCATTCATCTTAGGGACCATGGATTCTTGGACACTTTCCCTCTATCCCTATCAGTCAGTCTCCTCTAAACATCATATGCACCCAGCAAATTCTGACAGGCAAGGATGCCTTTTTGGGACCATGGCAGTATCAAGTGTGGGCACGGGTTTTAGGCTAAATTGGTTGTTGGTTGGCCACTCCCATAACCAATCTCTAGGCCACCCTTACTGCAGCACATTCCACAGGCAGGACAGACTATAGGTTGAAAGGTTTGTGGCTGGGGTGGTGTCCCAGTCCTTCCACTTGAAATCTTGCCTGGCCACAGGAGATGGTCAGTTCAGGCTACGTATCTGCTATTGCTAGGAGTCTTAGCTGGGATCATCCTTGTAGATTCCTGGGGGATTCTCTTGTGGTAGATTTCTGTGTTATTTTCTTAATGGTTTGAGTTTGTCCTCTTTTGAGAACTCTCTTCCATTCTGACTATAGTCAAATGATGAACAAGTCACTCTTAGACCCAAACCATTGATAGGAAGACCCATCTCAGGCCACTGCCCCCTTCATAGAAAGTTCTTAGTTGATTTTCAAAATATTGAACTTCTGTGCTTGTGTGTGTGGTGTGTATATTCATGTACTCACTTGTGGACTTGTGTGTGCATTGGTGTTCCCTGAGTGTGGAGGCCACAGATCAGTCATGTGTCTTCCTCACTCTCTGCCTACCTTTTAGAAACATTAACTTCTTTATTTTGGGTGTGAGTGGGTGTATCAGCATGCACGTGCCATGGCACATGAATGAAGGATAGAGGACAGCTTGAGGAAACTCTCTCCTTCCATCATTTGGGTATTGAACTCAAGCTTGGCAGCAGGAGTCTTTACCCTCGGAGTCACTCACCAGCCTCTCTCCACCACCTTAGGTTTTGAGGTAGAGTCTCTTATTGAACCCAGAGCTCACTGATTGGCAGTAATAGTTGGTCAGTGAGCTCCAGAGAATCCTCCTGTCTCTGTCGTCTCTGGTCTAGGATTACATGTGCCACCATGCTCAGCTTTTTATGTGAGACCTGTAGATCTGAACTTAGGTCCCCATGCTTTCAAAGCAAGTACTTTATTACCTGAACTATCTCACAGCCCCAAACACTGACCTTGTAACTACAACCAGCAGATTCTATAACAGAATAGATCATGAGTGAACTTATGTGAATAATGACTCTCACTCAGACACATCAGCCTTGTCTACTTAGCGAACTTTCCAAACCACGAAGTGGATGAGCACATTCCTGAACTTGGCTCCTTTGGCTTAAGAGCCAAAAGGAAAAGTCCCTGATTCTAATTCCCTGAATATCAGGGTGGATGCTTTTTTTTTTTTTTTTTTTTTTTTGCATTTGCTCCTCATTTCTACCCATTCAATATCCTACATCCTCACATCCAGGGGAGTTGTGTTTCCAAGCTATTTTTTCAGAGTTTATTTGAGCATTAGTTGGCTTAGATCATACTGCTTTATGAGTACAAATGATTATAATTTCAGGAATTTTGTGAACTGGTTGGTAGGCAGCATTCTTTAAAATTGAAATTATACTTATAATTAAATAAATTTTATGAAAAGCTGAGGTAATAAAAATTCAAAACATATTGCTTGCCAATTTCTATTTTTCTACTGCATTTGTTGCACAAATGATTCCCATCTACCAATATCTATGGTGGGAATACTAAGTTAATCCCCCTCCCAACTTCATGCCAGCAATGCCACGTTGCTGTTTTTAAACTGGCCATGAAGTCAACATTTATACCACAGGAGTCAGCACTGAAATCATTGTCATGGGGGGTGATTAGCATACTGCCATCCATCCCCTTCCTCTTGTTACTGGCTTGACCCAGCATGCCAAAGACATCCATCTTTTTTTATTTAAATTAGAAACAAGCTTGCTTCACATGTCAATCCCAGCTCCCTCTCTCTCCCCTCCTCCCTCGCCCCCCACCAACCTCCCAACCCCCCTACCCAATCCCCCTTCCACTCCCTAGGGAGGGTGAGGCCCTCCATGAGGGATTTCCAAAGTCTGTCGTATCATCCTGGGCAAGGCCTAGGCCCTCCCCCATGTGTCCAGGCTGAAGAGCATCCCACCATATGGAATGGGCTCCCAAAGTCTATTCATATGTCAGGGATAAATACTGATCTGTTACCTGAGGTTCCATAGATTGCTGAGGTCTCCTCACTGACACCCATGTTCAGGGGGTCTGGATCAGTCCCATGCAGTCATCAGTCTGGGGTTCATGAGCTCCCCCTTGTTCAGGTCAGCTGTTTTGGGGGGGTTTCATCAGCCCGGTCTTGACCCCTTTGCTCATCTCTCCTCCCTCTCTGCAACTGGGTTCCAGGAGTTAGGCTCAGTGTTTAGCTGTGGGTGTCTGCCTCTTCTTCCATCACCCACTGGATGAAGGCTCTAGAATGGCCTATAAGGTGGTCATCAATCTCATTATTGGGGAAGGGTATTTAAGGTAGCCTCTCCACTACTGCTTAGATTGTTAGTTGGTGTCATCCTTGTAGATCTCTGGAAATATCAATATTGCCAGATCTGTTGTCAAACCTGTAATGGCTCCCTCTCTTATGGTATCTGTAATCCTGCTCTCCTCTATTCTTCCCCTGACTCAACCTTCCTGCTCTCCCATGTCCTCTTCTCCCTCTCTCTTTTTCCCAGTTCCCTCTCCTCTCCCCCTATCTTTTAGAGAAGAGGGAAGCTGTGTTTTTGGATGTTGAGTGAGCCATTCATAGGCTTTCAGCTGGGAAGCAGTAAACTCAGGTCTACATTCCAGAGTTTGAAGCTGGTCCAGTGCTCAGTGAGCTGGGGAATGAGAGAGTCTTCGAGCTCTGAAAAGGGCAATAGCTCTAAAGAGAGCTTTGTTGGAGGTCTTTGCTAAGACAGTAAAGATTTTGATTCTCCAAACAGATATCCTTAAACAACAAAATGTATTTCTGGCCCCAGTTAAGAGTCCCAATCTTTTGTCTTGGTCGAAGCCCTTTGTGGATGAGAAGGGGAAAGTAACACAAAAGACAAATTTACCTGGAGTATGACAATTGGAACTTCGCTGTTTAATCTTTCAGATCCTTTATGTCTTCCTAAATCTAATGATTCCAATCATATAGCAACTGCCCACATATATAGTATGAATGTAAATGTGATAAAAAGTAGGAAATAAAAATTCAAAATGATTGAGACATAGTAGGTTTTCCAAGAGAAGCCCCCATTCTTACCACTTAAAAATCCTTGGGTTGGAGTTTTGCCGGGTACAGTAGTCCTGTTGGATATTTTAAATATTATCTTTATAGTATATCACTAATGTAAGTGCATTTTTGAGCAGAGACTTATTTTACAGGCTTCCCTGAGATTAAGAGTAATTGCTTCTTGAAAACAAAACAAAAAAACACTTAAATATTAGCTTTCATTTGGAAACAATAGTGTGTAACCAGTCACCATCAACATTTCTTAAAGAGCAGAATGTTTTTAATATATTTACTTTTATTTCTACCAGATTAGCAAATTGAATATAATTGATAACAAATTAATGCCTTACCTCGTATTCTTAGGACATTATTTTATAGTCTAGTTACTGTTCCAAAAACATTGGCATTTTTGTTAGTATTGCTAGAGATCTAGGTTAATGGTCCTTCTATAACTTTTCAGCGAGGAAATTAAACTGTCATGACACTTTCATACATGTGTAGTATTGTATCTAACTTATAATCGCCCCCACTTGTGGTGATATGTTGTTTATGATCTAATAAAGCTTGCCTGAATATCAGAATGCAAAGCTAGCTGCAGCCATAGAAGCCAGGCTGTAGTGGTCACATTTTTAATCCCAGGACTCAGGAGAGAGAGGCAGATGGCTCTCTGTGAGTTCAAGGCTACCCTGGGCTACACAAGATTGAAGAAGTCTAAAAGAGAAACAGGACTCACACCTTTAAATGCAGCACTAGGTAGGTGGAGACAGGAGTGATATGGCTGGGCAGGGTGGGAGGAGACAGGAACTCAGAGGATGGCCTTCTGAGAATTTGTGGAGGCAGGATCTCTCATTTCAATCCGAAGATTTTGTAGAGGTCAGAGCTCTAGAAGTTGGCTGTTTTGTCATTTTGATCTTCAGCTTGAACCCAATATCAGTTTCTGGGATTTATTATTTGTGTTACACCCATTGCCTTTTCTAGATTGTTGATCCCCTCTCCTCGACAGTCATAGACACTGTCTCCACAGGCTCACATATGCCTCTATAATGTTATTTCTGACTCAGTACACTGTTTCAAACCAACTCCTTGCCACCCAAAACCCTATCTTCTTCTCTGCCTGAGGAACTCAGGTACATTGTAAATCTTTCT